TAGGGCCAATAATCCTGTATAGGAGGTGATGACAGCAGGGGCCCATCCACAACCCAGAGCGTTGGAGAGGGGAGCACCAGGAACTGTGGAATAAGGCAAGCTCCCTTCATCTGTGCAACTGGATCGCCCACATCTTCCTTGTCAAGGTGGTCCAGCTGGCAGTGATGTCATCAAGTACGATCAGGGGCGGACTGACAACTCATGGGGCCCCTGGCAATAGGGGATCATGGGGCCCCTGTGTCCTCGCCCAAACTCAAAAAAGCCTATGAAAAAGGTATCAGGGGCATCTCCTGGGGCCCCCTACTGACTCCGGACCCTCGGGCAGTGCCCGAGTTTCCAAATGGTCAGTCCGCCCCTGGTTCCACCCCTTCTTCATCACTGAGTTCTGTATTGGTGTAAGAAGTTGGAGGACACCCAAAAAAGCCTATGAAAAAGCCAATGAAAGGTACCAGGGGCATTTCATGGGGCCCCCTACTGACCCCAGGCCCTCGGCACTGCCCGAGTGCTCGAATGGTCAGTCCGCCCCTGAGTACGATGAAGTGCCAATAATCCTGTATAGGATGCGATGACAGCAGGGGCCCATCCACACCCAGCGTTGGAGAGGGGAGCACCAGGAACTGTGGAATAAGGCAAGCATGACACCCTATTCCTCTGCCCCTAGACTGAACCAGTGTTTAACCCTTGCAATGCAGAAAGCCCACGCTCAGCAATCACTTGCTTGTCAAAATCACTGCCACTACACACTGTCAGCCTTGTATCAGGAGGAAGGGCTCTTGGCCTGGGACAGCAAACCTGAGAGAACTGGATGTGGAAATTGCTTTGTACGAGAAAGAAAAAGATTCATCAATTACCCAGCATCATTTAACCCAATTTCTGGGAGCATCATCAACATGGTGTCCTGCACATACAGTACACAGATGTAAAGCATGGAGTGACGTCATCATGTCAGCAATACTCTCTGCATGTCCCGTGATCAGTTTGAAGCCATCTGCAAAAGTATTATGGCATAGAAAGCCAGGATTATTTGTCTGAATCCCTTCAACTATAATCTGGGGAATTTATCGGAAACTATACATCAGTCCCTCTGGCTATCCAACCTGGAAGTACGGGTGTTGGTGATCATACGGAGAGGAACCTTCAGAGATTTATATCACACAATACGATATATGAGCACAGTAATGGGGGTCATATAGGTCTGGTGAGTGATCCATTCGTTTGCCTTTGCACCGAGGTGTGGACACATGGATTTTTATGTCACCAAATTTTGAAGTCTAAGAAGGACTGTCCCAATTTGAATTCATTCAGCACTTGGTGGAAGCATAAGGACGTTTTACAAAATTTGGAATTTCCAGTCACTTTATATTTCTTTATTCATTTAGGTTTGGTATATGAATTGTTTGACATTTATTTATTTGTATTTATTCACAAATCTCATCATTAGTTATTATATGGGGAAGGTGCATATTTACACTTTATGCTATATATTCCATTTGAGCACAGCACCTACCTATTCATCACTAAGGGCTCATGTACACTGCAGCTGATAAACTCATATTTAAGAGCTGTTCAGCATTTTTTTCAGCAGCCCCTGAACTCTCCCTAATGTTTTCCCTAATGTTCGTTTACAGGCAGTTGAGTTTACAGTCATTTTTTTTGAACGCAAAAGACGTGCGTTTAGGAGTAGATTTTATCGGCGTTTCAAATGCTAAACGTGGCAAATCGCGTTTATAAGTGTTTGTGTTTGAAATTTTTTTTTAACTCTTTCAATTCCCGATGCTGTCCAGAGCCTTTTTTCATCATGAAAAATGCATGCAAAGCGTTTTTAAAGTACTCAGATGGGCAAAACACTGAACACAGGATGTTCCTGTCAGGGAGCGAGGAGCCAGACACACAAGGAGGTGCAATTAAAGGTAGGTTTATTAATATAAAAATAAGACAAGAGTCTATGCAAGTCCAACAACGGAAATCGTAGCCAAAGCCGGGGTCAAGAGCCAGGAAGAATCGTCGCCAGAGCCGGGATCAGGAGCCAGGAAGAATTGTCGCCAGAGCCGGGATCAGGAGCCAGGAAGAATTGTTGCCAGAGCCGGGATCAAGAGCCAGGAAGAATTGTCGCCAGAGCCGGGATCAAGAGCAGGAAGAATCGTCGCCAGAGCCGGATCAGGAGCCAGGAAGAATTGTCGCCAGAGCCGGGATCAAGAGCCAGGAAGAATTGTCGCCAGAGCCGGGATCAAGAGCCAGGAAGAATCGTCGCCAGGAGGAGCCAGGAATTGTCGCCAGAGCCGGGATCAAGAGCCAGGAAGAATCGTCGCCAGAGCCGGGATCAGGAGCCAGGAAGAATTGTCGCCAGAGCCGGGATCAAGAGCCAGGAAGAATCGTCGCCAGAGCCGGGATCAGGAGCCAGGAAGAATCGTCGCCAGAGAGCCGGGATCAGGAGCCAGGAAGAATCGTCGCCAGAGCCGGGATCAGGAGCCAGGAGGAGTCTTAGCTAAAGCCGAGTCGGTATCCAGGAAAGCAATGAGTAGCTAAACAGGAGCTTGCTGTTGTGCAACAGACAGGACACGAATGCAATGGACAGCAACAAACAGCAGACTTATATGTGATAAGCCGCCACCTCCTGGGGGAGGAGCCGCAGAGGGCTGAAAGCATAAAGGATCCCACAATGCTTTGCAGACACCTAAGATGGATGCCAGCACATGGAGCAGCACAAGGTCTGAGGAAAGGTAGGACCTTGACAGTTCCTACCAAGCTTGTCATACATTGTAATGACCAATTCACACCTCAGACCTCTCCCACCCTTGGAAACAAAAGATATGTTAATGACCATTCACACCTCAAATTCCTCATGAAGACCCCCTGCCAGGTGACCTTAATGACTCCAGCAGACACCTTCCCACCCTTGGAAACAAAGAAAATGTTAATGAGCAACTTGCACCTAATTATCTCAACACATACTGCTGTCTCTGCTTCTACTCTCTGTATTTCTCAGAAACAGTCTGAAATAGTTAATAATTTACCACTTTTTAGTGCATTCTGGGCATTCGGGAGGTTCTCCTGTGCTTATCTTTAAAAAACGCTTCTAAACGCAAACACGTATAAACACGGTATGCAAAACCGTGTTTTTTAACCTACGTTTTCCAGCAGTCAGTTTCCATCATTCAGAAACATCCCATGTACATGGGGCCTAATTCAGGAGGAAGGTGTGCCCATCCCAACAGTTAACCATTGAGCCCAGGCAGCTAGCCCCTCTCACCCACCCCTTGTCCCAGCCCTGCAGCCAGGCAACTAGCATTGTCAGAAGAAGGTCAGCAATGGCAGTCTCATGACAGGATTACATTAAAAGGCTGGTTGATGTAAAGCATGGCAAGCATATTACCAGGGGTGGACTGACAACTCATGGGGCCCCCGGGCAATAGGGGATCATGAGGCCCCTGTGTCCTCGCCCACACTCAAACCACACCCAAAAAAGCCTATGAAAGGTACCAGGGACATCTCATGGGGCCCCCTACTGACCCCGAGTGCCCAAGTTCCCCAACGGTCAGTCCGGACCTGCATATTACTTTAGTCCAACCATTCTCACAGCGGCAGTGTTCTGACACTCAGCCTTTCGGAGGAGATTTTGGCAGGAGGAAAGGCCGCAGCATCAACATCACAGCTAGACATGGCAGCTGACATTCATTCCGATGTGAAGCACAGCAAGCTGTTTTTAAGCAGCCATTTTGCACCACAGAAAGCTATTTTTTGGGTGACATTCTGTGTAAGAAGCCTCGAAACCCATCCTACATAGAGCAGAATGTGCTCCAAACCAGCTGGATGTCGGGAATGTGACCTACAGCTCCATGTGTGCATGAGAAAAGCCTACATCTGAGGGCTAGGAAAAGCTGAACTCACAGGATTTGGAGAACAGTTTGGGGAAAATGAGGGATGGGTGGAATTTAAAAACGTACGTCATTCACTGGGTGAGGTTTTATACATTCCAGACAAGACGTGAACCTGAAGTCCATCCAGTCTACCCATAGAACACCCCCACGCTCCTTCCTGACAGGCCTGGAAGGGTTAAAGGATATTCCATTCACCACAGAAGTCTGCCAGAGAGCAATCTAAGGACACGTTATTCTCTGGTCAGGGTGTGTACCCCATGACTCACCTCTCTGGAGCTTGTGTGTATATCTGCAGGGCTGACACAGGGAAAGAACGATCATGGATGAAAACAAAGCGTGGAAAACACTGAACTCTATACACTACACACATACATACAGCTTGTATTGTGTAAATGCTTCATACCTTGCATGCTGTAAATGCTTCATGTTGTGAATGGCTCATACCTTGTATGTTGTGAGTGGCTCATACCTTGTATGTTGTGAGTGGCTCATGCCTTGTATGTTGTGAGTGGCTCATACCTTGTATGTTGTGAGTGGCTCATGCCTTGTATGTTGTGAGTGGCTCATGCCTTGTATGTTGTGAGTGTTCATGCCTTGTATGTTGTGAGTGGCTCATGCCTTGTATGTTGTGAGTGGTTCATGCCTTTTATGTTGTTAGTGGTTCATACCTTGTATGTTGTGAGTTGTTCATGCCTTGTATGTTGTGAGTGGTTCATGCCTTGTATGTTGTGAATGGTTCATGCCTTGTATGTTGTGAGTGGTTCATGCCTTGTATGTTGTGAATGGTTCATGCCTTGTATGTTGTGAATGGCTCATGATGGAAATTGTTCATACCTAGTATTTTGTGAATGGCTCATACCTAGTATTTTGTGAATGGGTCATGGCTGTATTTTGTGAATGGTTCATACCTTGTATGTTGTGAATGGTTCATACCTTGTATGTTGTGAATGGTTCATGTTGCATTTTGTGAGTGGCCTACATCTTGTGCATTATGAGTGGTTCATACCTTGTATGTTGTAAATTGTTCACGGTGGTATTTTTTGAATGGTTCATACCTTGTATGTTGTGAATGGTTCATGGTTGTATTTTGTGAATGGTTCATACCTTGTATATTGTAAATAGTTTATGGTTGCATTTTGTGAATGGCCTACATCTTGTGCATTGTTAGTGGTTCATGCCTTGTATGTTGTAAATGGTTCATGGTTGTATTTTGTGTGGCCTACATCTTGTGCATTGTGAGTGGTTCATGCCTTGTATGTTGTAAATGGTTCATGGTGGTATTTTGTGAATGGCCTACATCTTGTGCATTGTAAGTGGTTCATGCCTTGTATGTTGTGAATGGTTCATGGTTATATTTTGCGAATGGCTCATACCTTATACAGTATGTTGTGAATGGTTCATGGTTGTATTTTGCGAATTGTTCATACCTTTGTATGCTGTGAGTGGTTCATGTTGTGAATGGTTTATACCTTGTATGTTGTGAATGGTTCATGGTTGTATTTTGTGAATGGCTCATACCTAGTTTTTGGTGAATGGTTCATAGTGTTGTATGCTGTGAATGGTTCATGGTTGTATTTTGTGAATGGCTCATACCTTATATGTTGTGAATGGTTCATGATTATATTTTGTGAATGGCTTATATCTAGTATTTTGTGACTGGTTCATACCTTTTGTATGCTGAATGGTTCATGTTGTGAATGGTTTATACCTTGGATGTTTGTGAATGGTTCATATCTTACACGTGCATTAAGTGGTTCATGCCTTGTATTCTGTGAATGGTTCACGTCTGTATTTTGTGAATGGTTCACGCCTTGTATGCTGTGAATGGTTCACGCCTTGTATGCTGTGAATGGTTCACACCTTGTATGCTGTGAATGGTTCACACCTTGTATGCTGTGAATGGTTCACGCCTTGTATTTTGTGAATGGTTCACGCCTTGTATGCTGTGAATAGGTTCACGCCTTGTATTTTTTTTGAATAGGTCACAGAATACAAGGCATTCTGTGAATGGCCAATGGGAGAGGAGCTGCTGAAAAATGGCACTAGTGTGATTGCAGCTCTTATACAGGGAGTGGGCTGGAACTACAGAGGGAGCTGTAGTATCCAGCATAAACAAAAGTAGCTATTTTAAAAGACACAGCAGCACTCCAGCAAGTGAATGCAACTCGGGGGAGGCAACCTTCGTACACACACTTGAATTAAAAAAGTGATTAGAATTGCACTCTAAGGCTAGGTTTACACTAGATGTGGGAAACCAACATTCAGTGTGCGTTTCCTGCACCGTGTTCAAAAGGCACAGCAGTGTCAATGGAAGTTGATGACACCCAAAATCCAGGATGCAAACATGGTGCATTTTCCTGCATTGGACTGCATGGTACAAGAGTGCCATGTGATCTGGTTGGGGTGTGTTTCCAAAGGTAGTGCATGTACTACTTTTGGTCTGCAGTGCAATTTGAGCCCATTTAAAGCGCACTGCACTGAATCGCACAGGAATGCACAGTGTGGGATTCAAAGTGTGAACTGGGGCTAATTAATTCTGAATGATCTCGGAGGCATCTTAAACCAAAGTTAAACATTGACACAAGCCCAAAGCCCATCAACACAGGACAACATTTAAAGAAGTCATCTTGCTTCAATATTTAATAATGTGATCTATTCCCCCGGGGACAGAGTACATGCCATACTTTGACACCCATTTTCCAAGGTGCGATCTCTAGTTAGGTGTGAGGTTGGGCAGGAAACCCCTCCAACCCCCATGGCCATTTGTGTCTCCATCACTATGCCTGAGATAAGAGGATTGCAGGGGGGACTGTCAGCACAAATGTTCCAGGCTTGTGGATGAGCCGAGCTCTTGGAGGAAGAGAAAAGTGCCATTTGCAGCCTTGCTAGCTGCGTTGTCGGCAGGGGCGGACTGACCATTTGGAAACTCGGGCACTGCCCGAGGGCCCGGGTCAGTAGGGGGCCCCATGAGATGCCCCTGGTACCTTTTTCATAGGCTTTTTTGAGTTTGGGCAAGGACACAGGGGCCCCATGATCCCCTATTGCCCGGGGCCCCATGAGTTGTCGGTCAGCCATGGAGTCAGACAGCCAGGAGGGTGCCCTGTCCAAACACATATCTACCATTAGATGGCACCTAGGAAGGGTGGGACATGGGAAAGAATGGGAAAGTACTCCTTCGGAGAACAGAATACATTATTAAAATTAGAAGTGAGATTTCTTTAATCCTTTTTGTTCCTTTTTGGGGTGTTAAATATAATATTGAAAGAGTGTTTTATATCAGTTTGATAGGTGAAAAAAAAATCTCCTGTTTATTATTTTCTGTGCCCTCAGCCTGTGCTGTATTGTTATCAGTTGATTGTTTCCAGCTATCTCTTTGGAATAAAAAATACCTCATCCCATGTTCTGGAGCCATCTGTTATGGCAGTGGTCTCCAAACTGCGGCCCTTTGCTTGCCTTTATCTGGCCCTTGAGGCACTATTCCTCCCCACCCACACAAGGTGCTACTTCCACCGACAGACACCAACAATGGGGCATACTTCTTGTTACTGATACCAACAATAGGGCACTATCCTCCCACTGACACCAATGGCAGGGCACTATTCTTCCCACTAACATCAATGATGGGGCACTACTTCTCCCACTGACACCAATGATGGGGCATTATTCCTCCCACTGATACCAATGATGGGGCACTATTCCTCCCACTGATATTAACCAATGGGGGCACTATTTCTCCCACCAACACCAATGATGGGGGCACTATTCTCCCACTGACACCAATGATGGGCACTATTCCTCCCACTGACACCAGTGCTGGGGCACTATTCCTTCCCCTGATACCAACAATGGGGCACTATTCTTCCCCACTAACATCAATGATGGGGCACTATTCCTCCCACTGACACCAATGATGGGGCACTATTCCTCTCACTGACACCAATGATGGGGCACTATTCCTCCCATTGACACCAATGATGGGGCACTATTCCCCTCCCAACAATGGGGCACATTCCCCACTAACATGATGGGGCACTATTCCTCCCACTCTGATGGGGCACTACGATGACCAATGATGGGGCTCCCATTATTCCTATTCCTCCCCTGATACCAACGATGGGGCACTATTCCTCTCACTGACACCAACGATGGGGCACTATTCCTCCCACTGACACCAACGATGGGGCATTATTCCTCCCACTGATACCAACGATGGGGCACTATTCCTCCCACTGACACCAACGATGGGGCATTATTGCTCCCACTGACACCAATGATGGGGCACTACTCCTCCTACTGACACCAATGATGGGGCATTATTGCTCCCACTGATACCAATGATGGGGCACTATTCCTCCCACTGATATCAACAATGGGGCACTATTCCTCCCACTGAACCAATGATGGGGCACTATTCCTCCCACTGACACCAATAATGGGGCACTATTCCTCTCACTGATACCAGCAATGGGGCATTATTCCTTCTCCTGATACCAACATGGGGCACTGATTCCCCCACTGACAGTGGGGCGCTACTTCTCCAACGGACACCAATGAAGGGGCACTATTCCTCCACTGACACCAATGATGGGGCATTATTCTCCCACTGCTCCAATGATACTCCCAATACAATGATGGGGTCACTATTACTCCCACTGATACCAACAGTGGGGCACTATTCCTCCCACTGAAACCAATATGGGGCACTATTCCTTCCACTGACACCAATGATGGGGCACTATTCCTTCCACTGATACCAACAATGGGTCACTATTCCGCCCACTGATACCAATGAGGGGCACTATTCCTCCACTGACACCAATGATGGGGCCGTATTCCTTCCCTATTGATACCAATGATGGGGCTCTATTCCTCCCACTGACACCAATGATGGGGCACTATTCCTCCCACTGACACCAATGATGGGGCACTATTCCTCCCACTGACACCAATGATGGGACACTATTCCTTCCATTGATACCAATGATGGGGCATAGTTTACTCCCACTGATGCCAGAGGATTTTCTACACTTAATGGCTATAGTCCGGCCCCCTAAAAGTCTGAAGGACAGTAAACCGGCCTTTTGTTTAAAAAGTTTGGAGACCCCGTGTTATGGTGACAACGCTGCTCCTTCATAGATACAGTATGGTGAGCGAGGACAGGATATACTTTGTGTATTTGCCTGTAAAGTCCCATGGGGATGTATGTATCCATAAGTCTGATGTTATCACTTCCTTGGCTTACATACAGGGGCCGACCTGACAGCTCATGGGAGTAAGGGCAGATAGACGGGATTGGGGCCCCTTTTCTTTAAGCCCAAACAAACCACCCCTTATGAAAAAGTTCCACTGGATCATGGGGCCACATACTGACCCCGGCCCTCGGGCACCAGTTCCAAGAGTCCGCATGTGTGCATACTAGCAAGCTGGTAGGTGAGAGTCAGAGAAGGGCAACAAAGCCTTCTTTAAGAGGACTGGAGGACCTCCCTTAAAGTTCCACTCACGCTGTGAAAAAATAAAAGTCAGCAGCTGCAAAAACTGTAGCTGCTGAATTTTAAAAAACAGCCACTTACCTGTCCCTCGGTCCCCCACAGTGTGTCCCCCGCAGATAGTTTCACTGGCCGTCCTGTATTCCAGGAGGCCGGCATCTTCAGCATGGGGCACACGGCTGTGACAGCTTGCGACGTCACAGCTGGATGCCCACTGCGCATGCGCGAGTAGCGCTGAGCTTCCTGAATGGTCCTGCAGTCTTCTGGGACCTGTCATGTGTCCCAAAAGACTACAGGGAAGGTGGGAGGGAGGACACCTTTCCTTTCCAATCGCCTAGGTGATCGGACTGGAAGTGGGAGCGGGTACCTGTCAAATTCAGGGAACCCGCTCCCCCCCAAAAGGTGCCAATCCTTAATGGGTAGCGGGGGAGCAGTCATTAAATAGGAACTTCCCCTTTTGGGTGGAGCTCCGCTTTAAGCTTTGACAAACCACCCCTAAGTTTGTGAACTGCCACTGCTGATTCGTTCTTAAAGGTACAGGCACCAGGGATGTTTGCTGGCTTCAGACATGTCTGGGCTCTCAAGGTTCTAAAGCCAGATATGTCCTACAAATGTCTGAACACCGACTATGTTGGGCAACAGAGAGTTCTACTTCAGAGACTTTCATTTCCACATCATGGTGTCAGGGTTAGCGGAGAGCCAGGGTGACATAAAGTACAGAAGGAGGGGTTATTTAATAGAGCGGGTAGTGGAGGGGGGTGAACAGAGATGGAATAGACACAAGGGGGGG